TTTTTAATTTTTTGAGGAACCTCCATACTGTTGTCCACAGTGGCTATTTCAATTTACATTCTCACCAGCAGTGCACACGGATTCTCTTAATATCGTTGTCTTCTTATTTCTGGCTGTGTTGTGCAGCTTGCAGGATCTTATTAAATAGTTCCCTGACCAAGGATTGAACCCTGGTCAATTGTTTCTTTTCCTGCTCAAAGTTTTCAAGTGTTCATTGTTGAATAAGATGTTAGCTGTGGACTTCTCATCTATGGCTTTTATGTTGAGGTACATTTCCTCTATAACCATTTATCATAAATGAATGCTGAATTTTGTCAAATGCTCTTTCTGTATCTGTTGAGATGATTATCTTTGTTATCTTTCATCTTGTTAACGTAGTATATAACACTGATCTGTGGATACGGAACCACTCTTGAATCCTTGTACTAAATTCCACTTGATCATGGTGTGTGAACCTTTTCATGTGTTGTTGAATTCAGTCTGCTGATACTTTAAGATTTTTGCCTCTTTGTCAGGAATGTTGACCTGTTGTTGTCTGGTTTTGGTATGAGAGTAATGCTGGCCTTGTAAAATGAGTTTGGAAGTGTTCCTTCCTTTTCTATTTCTGGAAGAGTTTGAGAAGGAGTGTTGTTAGTTCCACTTTGAACGCTTGGTAGAATTCACCAGTGAAGCTACCTGGTCCTTACTAGTGATTAGACTATTCACATTTCCTGTTTTTTCATGATTCAGTCCTGGAAGGTTGTATGTTTCTGAGAATTTGTTCATTTATCGGATTTGTTGGCATCTAATTAATTGTGGTACTCTCCTTTGTAAATGTGAGGTGTAGTTGTAATGTCTTCCCTTTCATTTCTGATGTTACTTATTTGAGCCCTTCTTATTCCTGGTGAGTCTATTTAAAGGTTTGTCAGAGGAGCTTTGTTTTCCGTTTTGAAAAGTCAGGCTGTGGAGAAGGACAAGAAACCATTTGAATGGTAGTGTCAACTCTCCTTCTTAGTCTGAAACTATTTTCCCTGTAAATACAGATATCAGGGACAAGCTTTCTTTTCAATCTACATGATAATGTCCTGGAGGTCAGAAGAAGAATATTTCTCTTTCATAACCCAGCTCACTTCCAGACAGATTAGGCACTCAGATCTATGAGAGTGAAATCCTTCTTAGATCAGAGAGACAGCAGAATTTAATAGAAAGATGGCCTCAAAGCCAGATCTTTGAAATCCTGACTCTAATTAGTTTTATGAGCTTGGGTAAACTGAGTTAAAGAACCGAGTCTGCAGAGCCCTTTTTATCACAATAAATGGTAATTACAACCATTCTTTGTATTTCTGTGCCCTCTGAGGACCTATCAGCATGTCAGAGCTGCCAGTCATGAGATCTAGATCTCAGGTCTCACCAGCTTAAAGTGTCATGAAAGCGTCCTCTCAAAGACTGAGATTTAGAACTGTCATCTGTTCTGTGGTCCTCTTGAAGCCAGCTCCCATGTTCCACATGTAAATCTTGTCTTACAGAGGAATCCCTAGGCCATAAGTAAAGTTCTCTGCATCGAGTTTTCACCTGGGGGCCTGAGGTTCTCTGCTCATGCCACAGCAGACTTCAAGGCACACGTGTGACTAGCCGATTAAACCCACTGAGGGTAGAGAAAGAAGATGAAATAAATACTAAATGTGTATGGTGTTTGGTTCTACAGTAGGGCATTGTACAGTCTCAGTGGGAACAGAGAGGGTGCAAGTTAGAAAAATGGATGTAGTTGTCTGTACTTACTCTCACTTTGAGTCTATGCAAGTAAGGTCTCCTCTCCCTTGGTGACTGGATATTGTGATAAATCCAAGTATTTGTTTTTCTGATGGTAGTCTGGAAACTTAATGGGTGTCTTCTCACCTCTTTTGTTTTTCTAGTCTTCAGAACTTCTAAGAGGCAACCTACTACATCTGAGATTGGCAAATTATGGCTTTTATCTTTTTTGATAATGGAACATAACCATGCATATTCAGTTGTGGGTTGTCTACTTTTGTACTGAAACAGCAGAATTAAGTATCTGCGATAAAGACATGGCCTGCAAACCTAAAATACTATCCCTTTAGGAAAAAAAGTATGTCAATCCCAGTAGGACTTCCATTTCTCATTTAGGGCAATGGATCACATGACTAGATATCAAGGCAAAGCACCTCTGGAGGTGAGTTCATCTAAGTAAAGCTGGCCAAGGTAAGTTTTTTCTTCCCTCCAAACTGTAAATGCATAAAGAATTATCAGGAAGATTTTCTGCATGCTGCTCATCAGGGACACACACATGAGCTTTCCAGGTAGGGACTATAATACCCCATGGAAACAGCCCATCTCCACTACTAGGTGAGCCATTAAACATTAAACAGTATACAACAACACAAAAGTCAAAATTACTACTTGTGGACTCAAACAAAGGACACACTTCCACTACAACAGAAATAAATTTTAATTCATTGAAAAGTGCAGCAGTGAACAGGGTCCTTCAAAGGGCACTTTCTAAGTCAGACGACTGAGATGACACAGAGCCAGGGCAGAAGAACTTCCAGGAACAGATGATGCAAACACAAATTCACAAATTTAGTGGGACTGAGTGGTGGTGGAAACGAAAGACCTAATATCCCCACCTAATTCCACTGGTGGATCAGTTTAAATACCCCTTTGCTGTCTCTTAATAAGGATCCTGGGACAATTTATCTTCTGTTAAAACACTAGTCCTTAGACGCTTTAAATTTAAGAACAGTTGCCAGACTACCCTAGTGTTGTTAATTAAAACATTTTGAAACAGCACCGCTGGTCGAATTCAAAGATGCTCGAAAGGCATTCCCTACTTTTTAGTTGCAGAGAATGGTATTGTATTTGAGGGAGAGCTTTGTAAAAGGAAATCTTGTAAGGCAAAATCTCTATTCATCCCCAAGATCTCTGTTCATTCCTAATAGTTACAGTTCTCTATTCTGAAGGGCACCCGGTCTTCTTAAAAGGGCAAATAAACCTCTAGTCAGTACAATTGAGAGAAAAAAGGCAAGCCTCCTGCAGTGAGGCCCTTGTACATATTCTGAAGAATTTCAGTGCATTTTGTGGTCTGTTAGCCTATAAACTGAGGCTTCTTTATGAAAAATGATTTTAGCATAGATCCAGCATAGCCAGTCCAAGAGAAAAAAAATAGAGACCATTTAAAAATGAAAGGTACAAAGAGGGCTTCAGTCCATCCCCCCACCAACCCAACCCAAAGTCTGCTGCATGTAAGAGCAGCTAGCTGATCTGAGTTACTCTCACGACCTCATCTGCTTTTAGGAAGCAGCATCATAAAACTGAGTAATATCACATCACAGTACAAGACCTGGTAAGAGTTGGTTTCTTTTTATTCATTCGGGAATAACTGGCCAACTTTCATTAAAGTGGAAGCTGACTGATTAATGTTAAGAATCATAGAATAAAGCTGATAACCCACACTCAACATTGTAGCCTGCTTTTAGTTACAAAACTGTTAGAATTTCTTTTCCTAAAACACTTCAAACAGAAGTATTCATTTCTCTTGCCCATTTCACCTCTAAATACCACCACAGTTACTGGGATTGTGTGAGGTAAAGGAATAAACCTAAACCCAACATGGCAATCTGGGATTATGATATAAAGTTACTTATTATGGCCATGTGTTACAAAGTGCTTAAAGCTCAACCTAGGACCTTACATAAAGCTAAAATCACGACTGCCTGAGTTGGACAGATTATAAACCATAGTTCCTCTTCCTACCTGCTGCCCCCCACCATCAACTAGCCTTCTTGTAAAGACAGCATAAGAAAGGGGATTGGTCTTTGAGCCAAGAGACAGAAATACAGGTGTTCTAAACAGTGAGGAAACGTCAGAAAGATCTGATTTTGACGGAGAAACAGTAAACAAGGCCCAAATTGCACCAGACTCCAAAAACTCAGGAAGAAGTTAGCTGAAAGGGAAGAAGCTAAGTTGTTGGTTCTTTATATCAACTCTAAAATTCTTACATCTTAGAACAAATGAACAGAATGTCAGCAAAATGCAGAGGGAGTGTCACAACTTCACTTGTGGGCCTGGAACCCAGGCTCCCTGCTGGGCAGGCACTTTCTACACCTAGAAAGTGTAGGCACTCACAACCTGACGGCCCTACCTACAGAAGGCCCTCAGAAAACACAACCTTCACCAACCCTTGCGAGTTCTTCTCTGCTGAAATACTTAACCCACTTTATTTTTCAGATCTTAAGAGGGGAGACATTCCCTCAATAGCCCTGGTGTTAACTGGCTCACTATGTGAGTAGTCACTGGCAGGTAGATGTCTATCACCTTCAGGAACTACTTAAAATTAGCCTGTACCAAAAGCTTGCTACTGTTCTATTTCAGTGAAGCACAAGCCCAGAATTCCCAAAAATGAACAGAGCTTGGTTGATAAGTTTTGAATTTGTGACCTTATCACATTGTGATGAATACTATAAAAAGTGTATTTTTACTAATCTAAAACCAATGGTTTTTGTTTTTAATCAGATGGTTCAGCTCTGATGGTTCTTCTTCAAGCCCTGTGATATTGGTATTTTTGATAGTGAAGTGCTCGATCTGGAATGCTATGCAGGTCCTCTGATTTTAGGTCAAGCTGGATACCAACAACATTCCCCACCCCCGGCAAAGCAGTGCCATTTATCTGAATGGATTTGTAAGTCCAGATCACATGGGGACTAATTAATAACTGTGGCCCCAGGACAAAAAGGGTTTTGTGAGAACAAAGATCTCAGGAGTACTGTCGTCAGCTAAATAAAGGGACCAGGACAGCCACTCCTGACACACAGGCAGAGTTCACAGTTTTAACACATTGCACAAGGAAGTCAGCTGATTGGGTTGCTTTTTCAAACGGGACTTAAAGCCAGTCCAGAAACCCTTCCAGGCGTGGTCGTGAAGACTAGCTACAGATACCTACTCCAATCACTTCATCAGAAAGAGCTGAGCAGAGATCCAACTGCACAGGCGCTACAGAAGGTGTTTTAAAACCTTCGAGTCCTGATGCTGCCATGACTGCTGAACATGAGACGAGGGTCAAACCTGTACCTGGGGACAGAAAAAGCAAAAGACAATGGCACTGACTGTTGTGAGCCACTGAGTACTTCATTCAGAATGTTAACTGGCAAGACTGGCAGGAAGGGATACAAAAGCAGCAACTAAATCACTAGAAGAGGATCTAGGGGGAAAGTCTAGTAGAAGCAGGAGTACTCAGTAATTCAGAGCAATTCCATCATAAGTCAGTGAGCACAAAATAATACAGTAAAAGTGGAGAAAAGAAAAACAGAAGTTAAGGCAAATCTTGAAAGGTTAGGAGGAACGGTTAAAGCTTTTCAGGGGAGGGAGGGATCCCTAAACTATAAAGCATTCTGGTGTAACAGTGTAGCCCTTGCTGAAAGCCCCTGCAACATTTTCAAAGCCCTGTCTTCTTTTACGTTTTGACACACAGACCCCAGTGGGTAAGAGGTAGCCACTTATTATGTGGCTTATTGTGAACATAGGTAAGTCACAGGCATCTCTGGGCACCAATAAAATAGGAAGGCAATTCATGTAAAGTATCTGGCACATAAAATCAATTCTGCCTACTGACGGAGAAGACGTGGGTTTGATCCCTGGGTCAGGAAAATTTCCTGGAGAAGGAAATGGCAACCCACTCCAGTCTTCTTGCCTGCGAAATCCCATGGACAGAAGAGCCTGGTAGCCTCTAGTCCATGGGGTCACAGAAGAGTTGGACATGACTTAGCAACTGAATAACAAAGGAATTTAAAAGAAAGCCAGGTGGACTTTAAATAGCTCAAGCCAGTATCAGCAAAGCCAGCATCTAGAATCTTAGCCCTAACCCTCCAGAATGTAAACAAAACAGTTATGGTTTAAAAAACAAAGCAACTTCATGGAAGAAGGCATTAGAGAGTAAAGTGGTATTGATCATCTGGATTATGTAAGTGGCTGAACCCCATTAAAGCCTCTATATAAACCTTAAGATTCTGCCAGGCGGGTGTGGAGATCTACTCATCTTGTGAATGCCCAAGACAAGCCTCTCATACAAGCAAGCTGAGGCTTGTTCAAGGATGATAATGTGTCCAAGGTCAGCAGCTGTTTTGAGGATGGAGACAAGATATCAGAGTAGAAGGATATGAACTTACATCTTCTCATGAAGACAGCAAAATCACAACTAACGCTAAACAACCATTGGCAACTGCCCCCTGCCCTCCGAACTTACCAAAAAGATATCCTACATCCAGAGACAAAGAAGTCACCACAAGGCAGTCTGGATGGGAGAGGGGTTTGAGGGAGACAGAATCATGTATATATATGGCTAAGTCCCTCTGCTGTTCACCCAAAACTATCACAACATTGTTAATTAGCTATACCCCAATACAAAAAGTTCAAAAGAAAAAAAGCTACAACAAGACATATGTGGGGATGCAACTGTGATAAAATCAAATCCCACACCCACTGGGTGGGTGACCCACAAACGAGTAAAATATCTTATCTCAGAGGTCCTCCCACCAGAGTAAAAGTTATGAGCACCACATCAGGCTGCCCAGCCTGGTGGTCTGGCATTGGGAGGAGGAGCTGCCAAAGCATTTGGCTTTGAAGGCCGGCGAGTTTAGACTGGGGGAGGAGAGAGAAGCTCCACTCTCGGAGGATGCACACAGTGTGCGCCAGGACCCAGTGGAAAAGCACTGTTTTCACAACGTCTGAGCCAGACCCACCTGCTGATAGCGGAGGACCTCCTGCGGATGCAAGCGGGCAGCTGGGGCTCACTGTGGGGACACTGACCCTGGTGGGGGTAGTTCTGAGCAGTACTGATCGACAGGAGCCCTCCTGGAGGCTACCTTCTTACAAGACCTGGCCTCACCCACCAGCCTACAGGCTCCTGGGCTGGGATGCCTCAAGCCAAACAACCAAGAGGGTGGGAATACAACCCCTCCCATCAGCAGACAGGCTACCTCATGTCATCCTGAGCCCACAGCACCTTGCTAAACACAACCCATGACACAGCCCTACCCACCAGAGGGACAAGATCTGGTGGAGTTGAACAGTGGGCCCAACTCCACACCAATGGGCCCATACCAGTCTTCTCACCCTCTAGGAAGCCTGCAAAAGCCTCTTCGACTGGCCTCACTCACCAAGGGGAAGAGAGCAGAAGAAGAACCACAATCTTGCAGTCTGTGGAACAGAATCTAAAAGTTAGACCAGACGCAACAGCAGAGGAATATGTCTTCTACGAGGGAACTTGATAAAATCCCAGAAGAACTGACTGAAATAGAGATAGGCAATCTACTAAAAATCAGATTCAGAGTGATTATCTAATATCTTGGAAAAAGAATGGAGGTACAAATACAAGAAATGCTTAGTAAGGAGACGATCTGAAAAAGAAACAAACAGATGAACAATACAAAACCTGAAATGAAAAATACACTAGAAGAAATCAGTGACAGAATAAAGAATGGTTAAGTGAGCTGGAAGACAGAATGATAGAAATCACTGCCTTAGAAAATAATAAAGAAAAAAGAATGAAAAGACATGAGGACAGTCTAAGAGACCTCTGGGACAACATTAAATGCACCAACATTAACATTACAGGGGTCCCAGAAGGAGAGGTAAAGGGCCTGAGAAAATATCTGGAAAGATAATAGCTGAAAAATTGCTTCATAGGGGAAAGGAAACAGTCACTCGAGTCTAGGAAACAGAGTCCCAGGCAGGATAAACCTAGGGAAGAACTGAGACACACATTAATCAAATTGGCAAAAATTAAAGAGAAAATAGTTTCAAAAAAAACAAGGGAAAAGCAACACATAACATAAAACAGAGTCCTCATAAGGTTGTCTGTTTATTTCTCAGCAGAAACACTGCAGGCCAGGAGGGAGTGGCATGATCTATTAAAAGTGATGAAAAAGAAGAACCTAAAACCAAGAATATTCAGAAAGGCTCTCATGCAGATCTGATGGTGAAATCTAAAGCTTTTAAGTTAGTCATCAAATCATAGGAGAGGAAAAAGGAAAGGGGAGAAAAAAAGACCTATAAGACCAAATCCAAAAATGGCAGTAGGAACATACATATGTATCAGTAATTAGCTTAAATGTAAATAAAGGCTGTGCCTCCAGCGAGAGCGCCCACTGCCTGTGGAGAGCAGGAGTTGAAAGCAGCTCATTTTCTCAGCACGGCTGACTGCTGCACTAAGACCCAGTGCTCCCTGTATAAAGCAGAACAGTGAGAAACAGCTCAGCTCAGAGCAGGAAGGACCCACGGGGCTCCCTCTGCCTGCAGGATCGGCAGGGCTGCTGAAGACACCTGGGCCAAGTCGTTGAGGACGATGGAAAACTTACCCGGGGTCAAAGACCCCTGGAGTGCGGCAGGTTGGTCCAGAACAGGACTGCAGCATCATCAGTCGATAGTTCATCTTCCCCAGAAGCTCTGGGTCTATGCTTTTAGCAATGTTATTGATTTGGTGTGGGTCTGCAGTCAGGTTGTAGACTTCTACGAACACCTACAGGAAATGAAAAGACGGAGGAAAGAGAACAGCAAGGGTTATTACATCTGAAGAAATACTCCTCATGTGTGAGTTATTTCTAAATGGGGAGAGAGGAGGTGGATTAAAAACCAAGGCCCAGGGAAACAGCATCCGGTCTCAAGATCCTCAAAGAGCCCTAGGGTATGGAGCAGACAGTGGACCGTCTGTTCTGGGGGTTGAGTTACTCTGAGCCTATGGCCCGCATGCTGGAAACGGGCCCCCAGCACCCCTGTGCCTTCAGGGAAAGGCAGGAGGGAAGAGCCTGCCTTCCATAATTAAAGCAAGAACAGAAGGCAGGGCTGTCACATGGCAAGGGCCCAGAAACTGGAGTAAGAAAGGAGGTTACTGAGTGAGCGCTGCTATCTGAGGCCCACCTTTGCCTTACAGTTGTGAAGATTCAAATGAAAGGAACCCATCTTATAAAAATGTTAAGTTTTCCTATTTTAAAAAGCAATTTTAGATATATAACACCACTTGAGGAAAGATACCTTATTTCTAAAATAAGAGACATCTAATAGCACTATTTTCCCCTCCATCAGTACTTTGTTCTCCAAACTGGACTAAGAAGATGTAGATAAATTTTGCTTATAAAGGCTTCAAGTAGCTGCCCTCACACTATCACTTATAAAGTGGAAGGAACCGAGTTTGAGAAAAGCTCTCTTGCTTGTTCTCTGAAGTGCTTATGACCAACAAATAAATAGTGAGCATGTTTCTGAGAAACATGATGAGTTCTGGCTCCATCTGGCAGAGTGCAGGCTGCCAGATGGGGTAGGTGTGCATTTGCTGATAACCAGTAAGAAACAAGGGATGGGAGTGTGTGTGATCCTCCAGATAATCCACACTGATCCGGGCTGGATAAAAGCCACCTCCCCCAAGGATGCTGCCTTAACCTGCTGATTCACGTGAGCAGCACCAGACCACGTTGTGCCAGCTGGTGGCCAGGAAGCTTTCTAGGAAAGGCCCCCAACTCCCTTCATCTCCAGAGAAGTTCTTACCCTCACCCCAAACTATCAGGGGAGCAAACAGACCAGGGATGTAGCATTCTGGAAAAGTGAACTGTGTGTATTTAAAGTGTATGTGTGGGCGGTGGGAGAAGTGGAGAAAGCCCCACCCAGCAAGGCCAGTTAGAGAAGTCAAGTATGGCCTTGTGGAATTCTCTTCCCTTAACTCATGGGAACGTAAGTGTGAATACAGATAAAGAACTGGGAGATTGTGGCGGACACACACATACTACCATGTATAAACAGAGCTAGCGGGAAGCTGCTGGGTAACGGAGAGCTCAGCCTGGTGCTGTGATGCCCTCTCAGGGTGGGATGAGGGCAGGGGAGGGAGGCTCAAGAGGAAGGTGATGTACACACACAGCGGATGCGCTTCATGGTACAGCAGACCAACACAATATTACAAAGCAACTGCTGCTGCCGCTACGACTGTACCTCGGTAAAAAAAGACTCAATTTCCTCAGGGACCATCCCTGGAATTTCTCTTCTGCCACCAAGTCCAGCTAACAGAGCCCTGGCAATAGACAGACACAACGGGTGGGGGGGCAGCAGGCTCTCTTACCTCCTGGTCATCAAACTCGCAGTACTGTAGGTTCCACAGTTCTGACATGGTCCGCACGCAGGCGTAGGTGTTGTTATACGCATCTTCACACACACAGTCAGGGAAACATTGCTGTGGGGACAGTAAGAAAGTCAGCTGAAGGGCATCCTCCTTTAGTGACAGATGTGATTTCCATCCAGTGGCAGCCAGGCTGGCTCGAGCCAGACATACAACTGGACGGAAATGAGGAAACTTTCCAGAGAGAAGTAAACTGAAAACAGACGTGAGGCTGGCTCCTGCTAAGGGCTGACTCGATGAAGGAACATGAGGTGTGTGTGTGTATGTGACTGCTGCCACCCCTGCCTGCATCTCCTGATTGGAACGAGTTCTAACGAGCACCTGTAGACATACAGGTTGGTAAGGAGAAGCAATCAATACGCAGGTGAATCACTCTCCAGGTTATTTTAGGTTCTTTCATCCTGGGCTTGGAGAAAGTCTGAAATGAGCTTTGTGGAATCATTTGCAGTAAGTTGTTTATGAGCGCTCTTATCACCAAATAGGACTTGACTTTGATGCCATCGAGTCTTCCATACCATCTTTTGGTTGGGTTTTTACTATGTTTTAACATGTCAGTGTCGGGCTTCCATTTGGAGCTGACTCTATTACCTATTCCCTAAAGAGTGGCGGATGTCACTTGTGTCTCCTCTGTGACCAATCTGGCTGCCACCAAATCAAGGTGCTCAGGCTGGCCCGGTTACAGGTGGAAACCCTGTGTTTGTCGGATGCCACTGATCACATCCCTAATGAAAAGTGGTACCACAGCTGGGATGGGTAGAAAAAAGGAAGGGGTCCTGATAAAGTAGGGAGGGCAGATATTTTATAATGTGAAGTGCCCGTTCTGACAGTAGGCCAGCAGATAATCATTTTCAGGATTATTTTTACCTTTATCTCCTAACCTCCCAGAGTCAAGTGACAAAGTGACAGGAGGAGGACTCAGACTGAGTTTCAGCACTTGGCACATCTAAACCCGTGCCGGGCTGTGCTGTCCAAGAGAAGGTGTCTAAGGCAACTTGGGCCACACTCACAGACACGCCAGGACTCAGGGAAGGACACGTGGGGTCAGTGACATTGCGGCCTTCTCCCTGATACTCCACCAGGACGTCTGATCGCCAAGTCAGATTACTGGTCCCTTTCTAGAAAGAAGAGCAAAAGTGGTTTCGGTGAGGCATACAGAGTAGGATAAAATCACAGTGTTACTCATCCTACCTCGCAAGGGGTCCTGGGGCCACAATGAACTGACTGCAGTAGCTGAAGGGGAGGACTAAGTGGAGGCATTCGAAGGCTACCAAGTATCACGTCCAGTTGCAGAGTCCTCACATGCTCTGTCGCTCAGTCGTGTCCGACTCTTTGTGACCCCGTGGACTGCAGCCCGCCAGGCTCCTCTGTCCATGGGATTCTCCAGCCAAGAGTACTGGAGTGGGTTGTAATTTCCTCCTCCGGGGATCTTCCCCACCCAGAGACTGAACCCACGTCTCCTGGGTCTCCTTGCACTGGCAGGCGGATTCCTTACCACCGAGCCACCTGCGACGCCCCGAGGATTCTCACAAGTGATGTCAAATGCTTTGAGCAGTTATTTCTCAAGACTACTTCTGTAAAGCAGGTCAGGAATGGAAAGCAATGAAGTCGTGAAGCAAGAATCAAAGTCGTATGGCAAGGTGCTGAAATTTCAGATCAGAGTAAACAATACTGTCTAGAAACTCTAGGAGTTCGTCTAAGCTCATGCCGAGCAATTAAACATGGCTGCCGAGCTAAGGACTGTGACAGGGCTGAAGTACTTCTTGGTGGTTAGAACGAAGACACCATACAGTACAAAGTCATTTAATCTGTGCTGCACACCAGTGGAGCAGGAGGAAAAGAGCGGCAGCATTTGAAATGGGAACGTTTAAGACAGGCGCACAAAGGTGAAAGGGAGAGGGAGTCTGGGATCAAAAGGACAGTGTAAGGCCAGGATGGAAGCAGGGCACCTGGCACATGGGTTCCTGATACCCAGCTTTCAGTCAAGGAAGCAGCGCCAAGGCCGGTGGGCAGGCAGGCTGGTGCCGAACAGGAAAGGTCCTGACAGCAGGCTGCCCGCTTGTACCACACAGGATGGCAGCTGACGACAGGCTCTGGGGGTTTTGAACAAGGAAGTGACACAGTCAAGGCTGTGCTTTGGAAAGTCAGCCCAGCAGCAGAATCGCACCGAGGCCAGGCTAGAAGGAGCTCCTAAGGGAACTCCCTGGTGACCAGTGGTTAGGACTCGGCACTGCAACTGCCAAGGGGGGTGTGTGTGTGGGGAGGGAGCTCTTAAAATGCTCTATAGTCAAAGTCTGGTTTGTGGTCTATCGGCAGCACCTGGGGGCTGCTTAGAAACGAACCATCTCAGGCCCTACTTTGGTCTTAGAGAGCCTGTCTGCATTTTAAATAAGATCCTTGGCTGACTCACATGTACAGTAAAATTTGAGAAGCACTGCTCCGAAAGAGTGGTGCTCAAAATGTGCCCCCAGCAGCTGGAACTGGTTACAAACTCAAATTCTTAATTCCCAGTGGGGCGGGGAGCAGTCTGCACTTGAACCAGCCCCTCAGGCAGTGCTGATGTGTGCTGGCGTGAGAACCACTACCCTGAGGACTCGAGTGGACCTATCCGGCCTGGTGACCACAGCAGGGGGACGTGTGTGATCTGCTCAAGGCTGCAGGGGGTCACAGCTGCCTGGAGAGGAGAGTCAGAGAGGAACTGATGTCCTCAGTCACTGTTCTATGAAGAACCCGCACCATCCCGAGCAGATGGAGGTCACAGAAATCCTAAGCTATAGGAGACTTCAGCAGTCACCAACTCCCCTGTAAGAACCCATTCTGCTAATCCTGAGCCACGGAAGCTGGGGGTCAGGGGAAGAGCTTATCTGTCAGACTTGAGTGGACCTCAAACCCCACACTTAAATGTCAAAGTATGCAGGGAGAAGAGTGCCTGGAGGTCGAGAGCAGAGGTCTCCAACTCGGCTGCATAGTAAAACCACGGTGGGGCCACGTCACATCTCCAATTAATCCGGCTTGCTGGGGCTGGGACCCAGGAGTTAGTATTTTTTTTCCCAGGAGATACGAATGTGCCACCGAGTTTGAAACCAATGAAGGGGTCACTCAATGTTTTCTGTCAAAGGCCAGATAGTATTTTGAGTCTGTGGCTACACAGTCTGTTTCCTCTATTCGATCCTGCTACTGCAGCAGGAAAGCAGGCCAAGCCACACACACACAGACGGCATGGATGAGCACAGCTGTGTCCCGAGAGCTTCACTTACCAAACCCCCAGGGTGGGCTCGACCTGGCCCTCGGGGGCTTGCCATCCCCTGGTCTTCAGCAGCCCTGTCCAGCAGGACTTGCTGACTGAAATGTTCTGTGACTGTTGTCTGATACAAGGTGTTTGGGGCAACTGATACGTGGCTACAGACACAGAGCAACTGAATGTCTCACTTCATTCTCAGTAGTCACACGCGGCTAGCAGCTACCGTATTAAGGCAGAGCAAGAGGTACGACAGCCCTAATACACCAGAGGCTTCCACAGGACTAACCTTCAAAACAAAAGAACAAGGACTATAGCCAGCTCCCGTGTGGCGTTTTCAAAGCTGCAGGGAAATTAACTATACATAGTATAGTGATTTTAGCCCTATAGTGAAGTGTTTTTTTTTTTTCCTAACTAGAAATAAGGTAAACAGTGTAAGATTTGTCTAGGAAGAGTGAAGAGATAAAAATTTCCTTCTATCTGATCTACAGATTTATTGCAATTCCAGCCGAAGCCCAAAATGATTTTTTAAGCAATCTGAAAAGCTGTTTTTATAAAGTTTACATGGAAGAAAAATAACTGTCTTTTAAGATAGCCCTAAGAACAATCCTTAAGAGACCCCTCATAACCCTGAGAGGAGTGTACCCATGCAAGGTTTAATTATACAACTTTATAACACATTGGTTGAGGGACAGGCAGATCTGTGGAACAGAAAAGACAATTGAGTATTTATAGAAAAAGAAATGAAACTAAATTCCTGACTCCTACCATGCAAGAAAACCAATTCCAGATACATGAAGGACTCAAAGGTAAGAGGCAGAACTAGAAAACTTTCAAAAGAAAATTTGGGAGAACTATTTTCTGACCTCAAGGTTCACAAGTATTTTTATAAATAAGACACAAACGACACTAAATCATCTCATAAAATGAGGTGCTTTACGCATTCAACTCCTGCACTGTCATCTTAATGCAGGGGAAAGACAGGTCACAAACAGGGGGAATATCATGGGCAAAGAGAGGCATTTCATAAGGGGAGAAACACAAAAGACGTAAGTGAAAGGTGATTCATTGATCAAACACCCAACTGAAAAAACAAGCAAAGGATCTGAACAGACACTTCTCCAAAGAAGATATACAAATGTCCAACAAACACACGACAAGGTATGTTTGACGCATGACAACACATCAACATGACTAGTCATTAGGAAAATGCACATCAGAACCACGAGTCCCACTCATACCCACCAAGACACAGTAAAAAGACGAGAGCAACTGCTGGCAAGGATGTAGAGAAACTGAATCCTTTCACACTGCTGGTGGGAATATACTGAACAGTGCCATCACTTTAGAAACAGTCTGGCAGTGCCCCGAAAGGTTAAACAGAAAAATCACCACATGACCCAGCAATTCTACTAAGGATACACTCTAGAGAATGGAAAACATTAGTTCCCCCAATAATCTACATGCAAATGTTCACAGCAGTGTCACGCATAGAGTCAAATGGGGGAAACAATGCAAATGTCTATCAACTGGTGGCTGGATAAATATGTGGCTTGATAAACACATGGAATAGGGCTGTTTAGTAATAAGAAGGAATGAAGTAGTAACGTGTTACAATGGGGATGACCCCTGAAGACAGCCTCAGTGTTTTCAGCCAATCACAAGACCCCACATACTGTATGAGTCTCTTTGCAGAAAATGTCCACAGCAGACAAATGTACAGTGACAGAAAGTAGTGCCTGTCTGTTGCTGAGAGAGGGAGCCTAGAGTGACTGCAAGTGTATCTGGGGGTTTCTTTTTGGGGGTGAAGAAAAAGTTAGATTATACTGCAGTTGTACAACTCTGACTGTATCAGACCTAGTGAACCGTCAACTTTAAACTGGTGAATTGTATAGTTAGTGAATTAAGCTGTGAAAAAAGTGATTCATCTCATTAACAAAGAAATGTACAGTAGAACCAAATATAATTTTGTTGTTTTTCACCCCCTAGATAGGTAGAAAATGAACTAGGCTGATAGTTTCATACAGAGCAAAGGGAATTCCCACACATTACTAGTGGAATATAAACTGATGATGATTTTGGACAATAACTTGGTGATATTTGTAGGAATGAAGATACAAGGTTCCCATGACCTTGGTGTCATGCTCACTGGGAAACATGTATGAGAATGCCATGGCAGCACTGAGCCTACAGCAAAACGAGAATACCACAAATGCACATTGATAACAAATACAATTAAGTGGTGAAGCATTCCTTCTTATGATGGAATATTAGGTATCAGTGAACAACATGGATCAATCTGCAAACAATGCTGAACTGAGAAAAAAGTCTTGATTACAACTAGTAGAATGTCATCTTTAGAGTGCGAAACAAGATAGGTATTTCCCCCCCAAAACAGGTATGTTGTTTATGGCTACGTACAGGATAACTACTAAAAAAATAAAAGCCAGAGAGTAACAACCATAAAATTCAGAAAAGTGATCACTGGTAAGGGCAGGTAAGGGGTGGGATGGGGAGGAGTGCATAGGGAAGACACATCAGTATGAGGAATATTTCAGTTCTTAAATGGGATGATGGGTTCATGGGTATTTCTTGTGTTTTATAACTTACATGAGTGACATGTATTCTCTTGGATGAGTCACACATCACGTAATAATTGTGACAGATTCATACGAATCAGTTAAGAGTTGCCTATAATATAGAATAGTGATCCGTCAAACTTCTCTATGCCTAAACATATTCACATACATTTTCAGTGAAAAAGAGATGCTGTTTGAAACCTCTTTTCCTCCTTGCAGTATGTGGTGGGGGCATCTTTCTAAGTCAGTGTATACTCATGCACATAATTTAGTGTTGCTTTAATAGTCTTGTTTAATTTTGCCACAGTGTGACCAATCCCCTACTGTATATTCAGGTTTTTAATTTTCTTCTATTAATACTGTATGTAGGGGTTTTCTAATTAAACTTTTTATTTTGTATGGGGGTATAGCTGAGTAACAAAGTTGTGATGGTTCCAGGTGAATATTACATGTAGTTCTTCATAGTTAGCACTGTGCAGTGCTAGACACAGTAGGTATTCAAATAATTCTTGAACAAATTTTGTTCTCTTAGGAGTAAATTCCCAGATGCATCTGCTTGGTGTGTGTATTCTGAGGTTATGGGCCTTATTAAATTAGCCTACTGATAGCTTGTACTGGTTACACTTCAATGAACAGAGCCTGCGTAGCTTTCATTTTTTTCAGACTTCTATAATTACTGGGTATTAACCTTTCTAATCTTTGCCAGTTCTGCAGGCAACAGGGGCCTCCGTCAGCTAGGCTTTTCTTTGATCAGCACTGAAGCAATCCTTTAGCTCTGACTCTGGTCATTTTTAATTCCTCTGAGAATTGATTAGTTTCTTCTTTTGCCCATTTTTATACTGGGATATTAATTTTTGCTTTTAAGAACTCATCTATGGAGAAGGAAATGGCAACCCACTCCAGTATTCTTGCCTGGAGAAGTCCATGGACATAGGAGCCTGGCGGGCTGCAGTCCATGGGGTTACATAACTGAGCACGTGTGCACGAGGGTGGAGGGAGATGGGCTGGGAGCAATAAAGTGGTAGAACTAAAAAAAAAAAAAAGAACTCATCTATTAGGATTAGTTACCCTTCTTCATATATGCTGCAAATATTTTCTCAATTTGTTACCTGTCTTTGTGTATGATGGGACTTTTGGGGGAAGAAGAAGAAAAGGAAGGATACAGAACTCTGTTTATATGTGTCTAGTCTTTTTTTAAAGAAAGCTCCTTCCCATTACAGACATGAGAAAAACTGTATTCTCTGCTTCCTAAATTTAATAGTTTTAAGATTTAAAGGGTTCCCCCTTGAAGATTTAAAATTTAACTCTACTTATACAACCTGGAATTTACTTCAGAGTCTTGGCTCAGGGCTGATTGAGGGCTTTATACTCACCAAAATGGGCAAAAAAGACATCCCATCCATCTGGGTCTTATTCAGGCTATAGCCCGCAATGTCCAAAATAGTAGGGCCCAAGTCAATGTTGGCAACAAGCATCTGTGAGAAAGAGAAAGAAACAATAAACTGACTCAGAACACAGCTGGTCTCATTTTCCTTTTCTATCTACATTAGAGTTCTCTTTCCCCAAACCCGTCCACGAAACAAGCAGCACTTTGTTATCTTTTGTACAACCCATACTTCCTACTGCATATATTCAAATATAACTATGATAACTTAAGATATAAAACATAAAGCCTTATGAAGTTTATAATACAGGCCCCTGGGAAGTTATGTTTATTTTACACACACTGTTATTGACCAAAACATTTTTCAAGATTCCTTTAGGATTGCCTTGAGTCTGTTATGAATGATGAGATATATGTCAGGCTACTTTATACAAGTGTTTTCCAACTTGATTATTCTCACAAGTTCACTACTTGACTTCAAACTGACTCCTGACATTTTTGAAAGGCTCAAAGGTTGAACACTTGTCATCCATTAGGGTATCCGCCTTTGAAATAGTTTTTCAAAGTGACAACATGGCTAAAAATATTTGCAGTAGGCTTTGGAGAGTGCAGAAAATTTATCTCAACAATGCATCAGTAAGTTTCCTTAATGAGCACAAAACTTGGATGTTTAAAAAAAAAAATCCTAGAAATTAAAGACACCGTGTAGCATTTATTCCTTGACATATCTCCTTGATTTACTGGACAATTTTTCTTCTGTACTCAATATCTCTACCAGGTCTAAACCTACACAGCCCAGGAGGGGATAGAAGAGCAGTCATGTATGTAACTTAAAATTGTCTAGTAACCACTCTAGTGGCTCCGAGAGTAAAGCATCTGCCTGCAGCACAGGAGACCCGGGTCCTATCCCTGGGTCGGGAAGACCCCCTGGAGAAGAAAATGGCTACCCACTCCAGTATTCTTGCCTGGGAAACCCCATGGACAGAGGGGCCTGATGGGCTACAGATCATGGGATCGCATAGAGTTGGACATGATTGAGCAGCTAACACTTTCACTTTCGATGATCACACTAAAGTAGGGAAAAGAGAGGTAAAATCTATTGCAAATGTTTAAATATTACTATTTAAAATATAAGCAATACCAAAAAAAAATGATGAGATTTTACTTTATACAAAATTTTGAACCAATTATTTGAAATCTGGTATTCTGCATCTCAGTCTGGACTATCCCATGTATGTTCTGGCTCAACAATAACATGAACTTTTGTAGCAGAGGGCATAGGTCTAGAAGTCACATGGTCACAGGCTAGAAAAAGCCTTGGAGTGATGAGACAATCCAGGGAAATGAAAGGAACTAATGTTCACCAAGCACCTACTCTGGGCCAGTTCCTTACGCATATTCTCATTTAAGCCTCGCCACGATTCTAGGAGCTTCCCTGGTGGCTTGGCGGTAAAGAACCCACTTGCCAATGCAGGAGATGCAGGTTCAACCCTTGGGTGGGGAAGATCCCCTGCAGAAGGAAAAGGCAACCCACTCCAGTATTCTTATCTGGGAAATCCCATGGACAGGGGAGCCTGGCGGGTTACAGTCCATGGGGTCGCAAAGAATCAGACACAACTTAGGGAGTGAGCATGCACGTGCCATCCTAGGAAGCAGTTATTCCCCCATTTTACAGATGAGGAAATGAAAGAGAAGTAACTGAAACAAAGTCAGCATCCTGTAACTGGAAAAGCTGTCATTTACTAGAAATAAACACCAGTCAAGAAAACTGTAGAGAAAACTCAGATCATCTCAGGAGAAGCCAAAAGGGGACTTAAAAAAAAAAAAAACCTAATCCTGCTACTTTTAATTTAAAAACAAAACCAAAAGTATAGACACAAAAGGCAGGAAGACATCTTCTGAGTAGCAGCCAGGTTTCCTGGCTCCTGGAGAAGGAGTGATGGTTCCAGGAGGGCAGCGTGAGATACACATCCTGGCTCTGAATCCATTAGTATAACTGCAGCTGTTGGAAATTAACCTTCAGTAGCAGGCAACTCAGGAAAAGCAATCCATGTTAGTGAGGATAAAAAAAACAAAAACTATGTCTCTGGGGATTACACAAGCCCTGGTGTTGGGAGATACCTTTCCTGGTTCCAAGCCCCCCAGGTAGACCGAGCAGCTTAGGAGACAGTCAACAAGAGTGAGTGTGAATATGAAAGAGACCATGGCAAGAAAAGACAGACAAGGAGAGATACCACCTCCAGAATCAGATAAATGCAACACGACTTCAAAATGTGACCGACATATTTTCAATGATGTCCAGAACATGAATGAAGCCAGTCCCACAGGTATTATTAACATGTCCAAGGCACCAAAATAATAAAATGGACAGACATATAAAACAGTGACTGCCGGGTTCAGCAAAAACGGCCTCCCCAGCCATCAGCTAGGGGTGGAAATGCCCTCTAGCGGCAGTGTGCTGTGTGTGTTGGGGGGGGAGGGGGTGGGCAGAAGTCTGCAAGATCCAGAACAAACCAAGTTGCTAAGATTCAGCACAAGTATCATAAACACCACCCCCCAGGACGCTTTCTTTCCAAGTGTCTACGTAATCATATCTTCCCTAAAAATGATGGAGTTTTGTTTGACTACTGGGTTTTGTTTGACTAAGAAGCAGTCTCAAAATGAGCATACACTATTAGGAGATGGGAGACTTGTAGTAGATACCAAGTGTAATTGAAGAATTTGAGAGAATTATACCTCTCTCTGGTTTTTATACAGCCAAGAATTATAATGGATACTGGGAGCCCATCACCATAAGGATGTCTAGAAACATCAGCATTTCAAGTTCCTAAAATGGTACTGCTTTTATCACTGAGTATAAACCTAAAGATTCATTTATGCATTGGAACAGAAAAGGCTCTGACAAGACCAAGTAAATCAGTCCATAAATCACAGCCTCACAATTTATTTGGGAATGGTCCTAGGATTTAAGTATATAGACATTTTGATCAAATAAAAGGCCCTAAAAAACTGAGGCATGAGATCGAGGGATATCATGTCTTGAACCTGCTTAATTTTTAGGTCGAGAAACTACCTATAAGAACAAGGGCTCCCAGAAGGACTTCAAACAGACATTTACGCCCTGATGAGCTCATACAAGGCTTTCAAAGGCAGACGGGAAGCACACCGGACAGCACCCCAAACCCACCCAGTGAGCAGAAAGCAGAGACCCCACACGCCTTGGGCCGCTTCACCTCGACCTGCCCCTCATCACCCACTTCCTAACAAGGAGTAAGCCGGGGTGAGAACACTAGAGAATTCACTAGCAACACTAGAGAATTCACACGTAGCATCTTTCCAGTTTCACATGGGGAAAACCAAGGCTTAGTCTAACCAAAGTCTTAAAGCCAGTAAGTGGTCTTCCTGACTCCCTGTTCAGTTCCGTTTCCCCTGAATCATGCTATGTCATTTCCATTTTCCTACCAACATTCTCCTTTCTTAAAGCCCTTCTGAAGAACTCACACAACCAACTCTAAAGCCAGATTCATGTCTAGCCAGAGGAGAAGACCTCAACAGCCAGTGCTTGGCATCTGCCCATACCACCTGCCCCTGCTCTCCTCAAGAGGCAACACAAAGGTAAATCCACTGCTCAAGGGGCCCTGTTCTGGCCACCAGGCTGCTGCTAGCTCAGGTCGTTATGCTCAACTCACCACCCTGTGACCTCACACAGAACCGGCACCGTGACAGCTGTGAGCCCAGCAGAGGATGAATCAGCCACCATCGCTGATACACTGTTAGGTGGAAGTTGGATATTTCATACTTCTCACACAACTGTTAGCACAGAAGGTCATGGACCATGGTGTTTTTCTTTTGTTGGCTGTACTGCACGGCTTGTGGGATCTTACTGCCCCGACCTGGGATGGAACCCAGGCCCTTGACAGTGAAAGGACCAAGTACTCACCACCGGACCACCAGGGAACTTCCCCAAAACCCATGGATTTTTGAGAACAGTTAACTTTCAAACTTGGTTCTGCCACCTTCTGTGTAACCTTGGTAATATCCATTCACACAACTTGGATGTCCACCATTCTATGTTAAGGGCTAGGTATTCTTTTTTTAAATTGATGTACAGTTGCCTTAGTATGTTAAATTTCTGCTGTAAAGTGATTCAGCTATACACATACAGAGATACTTTTTTTTTTAAATATTCTTTTCCATTATGGTTTATCACAGGATATTGAAATGTAGTTCCCCAGACTACATAATAGGACCTTTAAAAATGTTTTGTTTCCTACTGGAGCGTAGTTAACAATGTGGCGTTAGTTTCAGATGTGCAGCAGAGTGATTCAGTCATACAAATACATGCATCTATTTTTTCTCAAATTCTTCTCCCATTTAGGTTGTTACAGAACACTGAGGAGAGGCGCTGTGCTATACAGTGGGCCCCTGTTTATTCACTGCATAAGCAACTGCTTACATCTGCTAAGCCCAAACTCCCACTAAGGGTTGGGTAGTCTAAGTTCAGATAATACCTCTCAAGTGGGGACTCCTGGAGTCAAAAAGACAAACTCAGCCAGGTGTGTTAAGTGTGAGGCCAGCTGGGAACCTGGGAAAGGCACCCACTCACTGTGGGGCAGGTATCTACCCTATGTCCCAGAGGAGAGCCCTAAAACAAAGCCCCAGAGGACATCAGCTTAGCCGAGTGAAAGGGGCATGAGGTGGGCATGCAGACAGAAGCAGTCATCTGCGCAAAGGTAAGGGGGTAAGAGAGACGTCTGGTCCAGGTAGGAAACGAAAGCGCTTCAGCACAACGGCCACCTTCTGCCCTTGAACCAGCTGAGCTCATTCTCCTCTCTGCGCTGTCCTGCTGCTGAGGACGCCCTCGCACAGATCTCCACAGGACTGAAGCCTTCCGATACCTGAGTCTCTGCCTAAATGCTTTCGCTGACAAATGCAGCTCAAGTATCTGGCTCCCCTTGATACAGGGAGTTAAGAATTAATCTTCCAATGACAGCTCCTGCTGGGACTGCCAGGCTCCTTGTGCAGTGTGCTGGCACAGGAAGATACCTGTCTGAACCATAGTCATGCTTGAGTGTATTGATTCTGGTTAAGTGTACATCAGCCAGACTGCCCAAGTTCAAACGCAGGGCTCTGCTATTCTTTAGCTACACCATCTCGGGCAAATCACTGAACCTCAGTTTCCTCATCTATAAAACAGGTGGATAATTGTATTCATATCTCAAAAGACTGTGAAGGTTGAGTTGATACAGGTAGCAACACTTGGAACAGCACCTGTTGCATTCTAAATATTCAATAAAGGTTATTATTGTTGAAATGGCTTCCTAGGACCTGGGTTCACTTAAACGACTTAGAGAAGGTGAAGTTTCAGATTTTAACATTTAGTGCCACTGTTAAACTTGAAGAAAAAAGAAACAGTTCCCTGGGCAGCTGGCTGACAATTGTGCTCATCAGCCTCCCTCCTCACACAGATGTAGTCCCAATAGCCCTCTTCCTGGGACATGCACATGGCTACAGACGTGCCTCCTCAATACACTCCCAACACCCAGAAGAAGCTTTTATGGTTGAATGGTCTCCCAAACCTGCCCACCTCTCTTGAAAGGAGATAGCCATTTAGAGGGTAATGGATTTGTAGTGGAAAGTGACTGGCTTTAAAAATGTGGGTCTTGAGAGAAAAAGAAAATTCAGAAGGCAATTATGAAGGCCACTTTAAGTTTCTGAGAGAATTTTAACAGAATTCCAATCAAGAGCACCGTGAAAGGAGACAAGTAAATGGCAGACATTTAAACAGAGTAAACCTCAAGCCCTCAAATTAAACTCAGGACCCAGAATACCTAGAAATTCTGGCCGATCTTCCAATTTTAGCTCAAATGATCCCTTTTCTTGTTTTCTTTTCTCTCTCTCACAGAGCTGGGACTGAAATTGTGCTATCCGGGAAGATGGTAAACATAACTGGTAGAGCCTATCAATTCTTCTCTCTCAAGGTGGGACCAAAGAGCTTGGATCAAGGGGCCCACCATCTGCCTCGGTATTAAAATCAAGTATGAAACCAGATGGAAATGGTAACAAAAGAAGAATGTGATCCTTTATGACACAGGAAAGAGAATCAGTAAAGCAGAAAGGCATTAGTAAGGAAGAGTCCCACAGAGAGGGACTGAATTCTCAGAAGATGAGCTTTCTGTAGCCTTCTACGCAGAGGGAGCTCAGACCAGGTGGACATCAGTCAGGAATACCTGCGGGCAGGCTGGAATGCAGAATCAGAATCTGCATGTCAACAAGGCCGCCAGGGGACGTGCACACACAAGCAAGCCTGAAGAGCCTTGCTCTACAGGGCTGTGGCTCCAGCCTGGGCTGCCTCTCAAGAGTCATTGTGAACTTGAGGAAAAAAAAGCAGAGACAGGGTTTCTAGTCCAGTCCAAGTGATTCAATCCAAAACTTTCTAGATGTTGAGCCTTTCACTTTCAGGAGGTAGTTTTAATGAGCACCCTGGGCAAGTGCAGTCACCATGTAAAGATTCAATCTCAAGAGACAAGCGAAAGCTATTCATGCTGATGTGATACGTATATAAGGGCAAAATACAGCCAAGAGTGGGTGGCCAGCAGTTTACTGCTATTATAATGTCAGACAGTGAAAGACAAATACTGTAAGATATCACTTATTTGTGAAATCTAGCGAATACAACAAACTACCAAATATAACAAAACATGGATATGGAGAACAGATACAGACACAGAGGACAAACTGCTGCTGCTGCTAAGTTGCTTCAGTCGTGTCCGACTCTGTGCGAACCCACAGACGGCTGCCCCCCAGGCTCCCCTGTCCCTGGGATTCTCCAGGCAAGAACACTGGAGTGGGTTGTTGCCATTTCCCTTTCCAATGCGTGAAAGTGAAATCACTCAGTCGTGTCTGCCTCTTCGTGACCCCATGGACTGCAGCCCACCAGGCTCCTCTGCCCATGGGATTTTCCAGGCGAGAGGACTGGAGTGGGCTGGGCTGCCACTGCCTTCTCCGTGAGAACACACTAGTGGTTACCAAAGGGGAGATGGGATGGGGAGGAGAAATACAGGAATGGAAGATTAAAAGTATTAGGTGTAAAAAAAAAAAAAGTATTAGGTGTAAAATAAGCTACATGAATATACGGTACAACACAGGACATCCAGCCAATATTGACAAATAACCCAACGGAACATGACCTTTAAAAACTGTGACTCATTATGCTGCACACCTGAACTTACAGAATATTGTGCATCAGATACACTTCAATTAAAAAAAAAGAAAGAAAGAAGAATCACCATTTGCAAAGCTTATAAACACACTTGTAAAATCTTAAGCCAATCAGCCTTTATCCTCAAAGGAGGAGAAACAGAATAGGTCTCCTCTTGGGAGGAAAAGCTTTCTTTTCTCAGGCAAATACTACCTATACACAGCATCACCGTATCAGGAACCTACCTTGCTTGTCTGATTTGGTTTGATCCCAGGCCCTCGAACCAACAGTGGAACTTTGATATCAAATTCATACAGCTGTCTTTTGTCTATTGGCAAAGAAAACTGTCCTGAAAAAAAAAATGCATAGGGTAAAGATGGAGCCAAGACAGAAATGTCTCTCTTGTATGCATTCATTCAATCAACAGTAAAAATCAAATAGCCTTGTTTTACTAATTATGGTGTCTTAGCAAAGAGCTAAGATCCCCTAGGGTCTCTAATTACTACAAGGCAGGAAACAATGAGCTCATCTTCTTTAAATAAATGTCCAGAGGAACTCCCTGGCCTTAAATAGGCAAATACAACAAAAGGAATGACTAGAAAGTATTGAAGCACAAATATACATTATTTATGTATGACACTCCACCTGATCACAACTGAATGAAGTTTGTCTAAAAGCTGTTAAATAAAGGAACAAAACCATTTATCCAGCCTTTCCTCAATAAACTGTACCTCAAGATAACCAAACAGTTGATGAGGCAAATTTCCTGAGGAATTACAGCTAGTAAATTCAAAAGGAAGGACACAGGTATGAAGTCAAATTTTGCAGTTTCTGAGGGAACCGATTTAAGCACAATCATCAATGGAAGTTTCAGCCACAAGAGGTTCATAAGGAGAAATTCAGGTTGGTACCACATGAGCCATCAATCAGAAACAGCATCTCTAAGGTGAGGCAACCAGACACCTGGGCTTCATAATATGAAGCAGTAAGAAGTACACAGCAGCACCAATAAGAAAGCATTCTTGTTGAAAAACACACATTTCTATTAAGACTCTAGATCTAACTATCAGTGTATAGAAAATGCTGAGTATAGATAAACAAGTTATCACATATGCAATTAGCCACATCTAGAATGTGATATTCTAAAGGACAAAAGACCAATTTCTCCAATAAATCAGTGGCAAAAGACAGTCTTACTATAGATAAAAAGTAAAGGTGTGTGGATTTTATGTAGGTTCTGATACATAATCAACTAATCAGATGCATAATCAAGTGTTGACATATGGAATCACCACATCTGGAGTGCCTTCAGAAACTTCTAGCTAAAAAAGAAACATCCAGAAGGAATGAGGAATTCAAAAGACTGGCCCTGTGTCACTGAAAATTAAAGCTAGACAACGAAGGTTAATTTACTATCTTTACTTTGTTTAAAGATATTCATAATAACAGAGGAAATGCCTAATCAATCCACTCCTGTGCAATTATCAGATTAATTACCTTCAAGTTTAGGAAATTTAAGGGTGGAGAAAGAAGAAAATACTGATTTTTAGCTAGAGAAGGTCCAAGTAGAAAGGATGAAAGTCAAGGACCCGGGGCTGACTCATACTGCAGCTGTGAAAAGACAAAAACCACACACACCAAAAACCTAATTTCACAAGACAGTTTTTCCGCAAGGCGACCCTCTCTTGGTCTTCCTGTGTAAAATGTCATACCCCTATTCTCTAAGATCCACTATCCTTTAAATCAAGTTCAGTTTCTCACCTCTTTCATAAAGCCTGCCTCCAACCCATCAAGCTTATCCTCTGCTTAGACTCCTTAGAACACCATGTAATTTAGCCTGTGAAACAGCAAATAATGCAACTGGGTCTCTCCCCACCCAGGGAATGAATTGGGAATGGGAATGAGTTGGCCTTCTAACCAGAGGGGCCCTGAGGGCAAGACCCTCCCTCTGGCCTGTTCACCACTGCAAAAGGTCAGAAGCTCCCAGTCAGCGCTACTGATCGGGTGAGAACGGAAAGGCACTTCGCCAAGGCCTGGTCTGCCCCTTACCGGTGTGATAGCCGTTGTCTGAGGTATAAAAGATGTAGGTGTTGCTGAGTTCCCCATTGAACTCCAATCGCTTGACCAGCTTCTCCACGAGGTCATCCACTGAGAGCAGAGTCTGCCACCTGAATGAGCGGGGGCAGCAATGGCGCCTCAGAGACAAAGGCCTGAGGTACTGCCATCTTGCCAAAATGGCAAAGCCAAGTCCAAACAAGCCCCCAGCCCCAAAACACCCCTCACCTCCCTCCCACAGAAACCCCTCAAAGCCACTCTTCCCCGAAAGCTCCACATTTCCTTTCCTTTCATTGCAAAACACAGATTAGGAAATTCCAAAACACTCCAAATTTAACCGATTCCACAGAAATAAACTAGGCTTTTAAAAAAACCAGTTAGCTTTATTATTTATCATCACTGGTGATCCGAAAGAAAGACTACTGGTGTTGATGTATGGCAGACACCAAAATAATATTGTAAAGCAATTATCCTTCAAGTAAAAAAAAAAAAACCCACTACCAGAGGGCAAACTTGTCAAATCAGCACTGATTGACCGAGATGAATCCAGACAGACCTGCGCTGCAACAGTGTTTAATAGACTAAAAGGGGTCAGCAAACCATAGTCACGGGTCAAAGCTTGACCACATCCCGGTTTCAACTGTGGTACAAGACACAAAATATTGCTGTCTTAACCATCTGTAAGTGGACAGGTCAGTAGGGTTCAGTATATTCACAGAGTGAAACCGATCTCCGGAACGTTTTCACCTTGCGAATCTGAAACTCTACACTCCTAAGACGACAACTTGCTGGCTGCTTTTATATGAAGTTTCATTGGAACACAGCCATGCTCATTCGTTCTCATATTGTCCAGGGCTGCTCTGCACTCCAAAAACAGAGTTGAGCGTCAGCAACAGACAAAGGTGGCCTACAAGCCTGTAAGATTTACGATCTGCCCCTTCACAGAAGGAGTCCGCCAACTCCTCATCTAAAACTAAATACACCTGAAGAGAAAGTAAAGTACTTAAAAAAAAAAACTGACTTAAAAGAATTTTCTCGAAAACTCAAAACAGCAAAGGCAGATATTTTGCTCTACTAAGCCTTTGGGTCATGTGTAATTTTCTTTAGACATAGTGAAAAGAAAAATTTCAACCAAATGGCTCCAATTTGCAACATTTTAACAAGTCAGAAAAACGGACTGTTTAATCAGTCCTGAGGGCCAAAGGCCACCTTACTGCTAAATGCAGAGACCTCCTATCAGAGTCTTTCCTACCAACTTGCTAAGCTCTGATTTTTTTCTCACAGATAACCACATGGTGCAGTCCCCTGTTCACGGGTTGCTTCTGAGGGTCCTCAAAGACCACCCAGACTGAGAAAGGAGCAGTTCTTACCTTTTCCTAAATGCATTATCTAAAAACTGTATTGAAGAATTAGTCATTGGGGTCTTGGCTTGCCGAATTAACCAGTGCTTGTTCTAAAATTTAAAAGAAAAAAAAAAGTTAGCACTAAGTCACCACAGTCAAATAAAGTACTAGAGTAGATAAAAGGATCACTTGATATTTGAGCAAAAAGGAACTAATTGGAGCCTGTTTAAGCAACTTCAGATTTTCCCTCCACCACCCACTCCCACCTCCCTTCTCTGTGTTTGCAGAAAAAAAAATTCTGCAATTATCACTCATTTTTTAGCTTCTTCCCAACCCCTCCCTAACAGCAGAAGGCCTGGGATCCTTCCTGAGCAGCATTAAGACATTTAGAGAAAGATACTGGAAACTGACTAGACTACATTTGCAACTTGGAATCTGTGCTTGAGTCTACCACTCACACTACAAAAGGGTAAATACTAACTTTACCTTCCTCTAAGTTTTGCTTAATAAGTCATCATTCCATTCCCCTCTATCTTCCTACCTAAAGTATAGATCATTCTTCAACCTTGGGAAAAAAACCTTATCACGGCAATTTTCTAAAACTTCAAATCCAAATCTAGAGGCTTCTTCTCATTTAACTAAAGACGTTTTCTTAAAAAATTGCCAAATACTTTTGATTTTCTCCTCCTTATTCATACAACCCTAGGCTGCCATCATCCAAACTGCCATCCTCAGCCTTTAGTTAATATGCTTGAAAAATGCTATACAGCCATGTTCTCCTATTGTAAATTCATGTTAGAACAGGAAAAACTGAGAAATTCTGCAGCACAGTGACTTATTTAACCTTAAGTTGCTAAGCTTACTTAGCCATGGGAGCTTGTATGAACTTCTTTTGGAACAGAGAGAGACCAGCCCTTTGGTTTAAAACTCAATTCACTCAGTTTTAACATCATACACAGCAAGCACAGCCTATCATGTGCCAGGCAACATGCTAAATGTTTCTATGTACAGACTCTTGAGAGTCCTCTGGACAGCAAGGAGATCAAACCCGTCAACCCTAAAGGAAATCAACTGTGAACATTCATTGGAAGGATTGATACTGAAGCTCCAATATTTTGGCCACCTGATGCAAAGAGCCAACTCATCTGAAAAGACCCTAATGCTGGGAAAGATTGAAGGCAGGAGGAGAAGGGAATGACAAAAGGATGAGATGGCTGATGGCATCACCGACTCAATGGACTTGAGTCTGAGCAAGCTCCAGGAGATGGTGAAGGACAGGGGAGCCTGGCGTGCTGCAGCCCATGGGGTCGCAGAGAGGCAGACATGACTAAGCAGCTGAACATGAGAGGTCAGGATCCCCCACTTCAGAGGGAAAAACGGAACTTAAGCATCTTACTAACGGTCAGGTTACTTAGCTAGAAAGCGGCAGTACTCAATCTAACTCCAAGACTCACTCTTTCTACCGCCTCACGAGTAACTAAGACTTCAGGCAAACAAGCAGGAGGTGGGAGCAGTCTTCAGTCTTCGAACCACTGAACTGCCTATCTCCTGGACCGAGGGGAGGGTAAGCAGCGCTGGAGGCGGCCAGTGCTTAGGTTACAGCCCTTTATTACCCTCCGTGCTCTGGTTCATTTCTCCACCCAACTTCCCTTTCCAATCACGCTACACTGCATCACCACTCATCTTCCCATGCCTCCGCCCAGAGGAAAGCCAGCATGGAGGTGATCAGCAGGGACCGTAGGCAGGAAGGACAGCATTTCTCCACCACTCCCCGTGGACTCTCGAGTTGCTCACGGGGTGCATGGCAGGAAGCTTACCTGGACTCCTGAAGCACATGTATACTACCTAGTGTACTAGAGACAGGCACAATTACCTCGAAAAGATTGAGAAGGAAGACCACCTACATGACTCAAAGGCTTCCTGACCAGTGTGTTATACACTTAATCACATCGAGCCTGGCCGGATGCAAGGCTGAGGGGAAGTTACCGTTCCATGGATGTTGAAGTTCTTGTTTCTTGGTGCAAAGACGTTCTGGAAGGCATTTTGGTACTGAGGAGCAGCCGTCCATGGCGAATGAGGCGCTGGGGTGGAGATCATCATGAAGAATGGCTCAGAGTTGGACTTGTAGTCCAGGAAGTCCAAGGAGACATTGGCCTGAAACACAGAAAGACTGGTCACCTCTCACCCCAGCCAGCAGCTGAGGCCCGGATAAGCGTCTGTTCTCTGGTGAAAGGGGCGCAGGGTCCTCTGAGCTTCCTCCCAGTTCTGGCCCACAATCTCTGTCACAGTCACTTGCAAGCGTGTTGCTGGAACGAATCATCCAGCTTTCAGGCAAACGCATGAAAATACTGAAAAGTACACCCATTCTTAAGCAAGCTGGAGAAGGAAATGGCAACCCAGTCCAGTGTTCGTGCCTGGAGAATCCCCAGGGACAGGGGAGCCTGGCAGGCCACAGTCCCTGGGGTCTCCAAGAGTCAAACATGCCTGAGCGACTAACGCTTTCCTTAAGAAAGCAATTGGGACTCTTACGACTTTACATGACCTAAAAGTTGCTATGCCTCCCATGAGGAAAAAAATAATAATTTGGCCATTTTAGTATTAATTTACATTAATGCCGCTCACAGCATACACATTTGATGCTTTAAGGAATATAAAAAAGAGTCAACCTAATTCACAATAGTGGGAAAAGTGAATTAAGTTACCATAATCTTACAAAAATGCTGGGGTCAAAAGAGTAGATAGGATATCCTAAGTTATGCCAGCTGAAGCTAAGCTAAGCTAAGCTAAGTGAATAATACTAAGTCCAAATATGCCACACCAGGGTGGCATATTTATCTGGACTTAAAAGTTTTTCATTTGCTTCTCTGGAGACAGTTTATGAAAATTAAAGCCTCCCACACATACACATGCTGTGTTTTTAATTGTTCTAGTTGATTTACATCTTCATTTATTCCCAACATGAAACTCAAAAGACACTATCGATTTCCTACCATCATCCCAACCATCTAACTTTACCTCAGCCCCGTCAGAAACTCCAGTTTCTCCAACACGCCAGGCACGCTCCTGCCGCGACACCGCCACACTTTCTGCTTCCTTTGCCGGTGGCACGCTTTCCGCTGATCCGTACAGCCATTCTCCTCTCCTTTAGGACTCTGCTTAAATACTAGCTAAGTAACTTCCAGCCTCTGCCTTATTGCTCTAACTCATCACCCTCTAACAAGACAACACACATGTGTAAATAAATCTACCCCTAAAAGGTGACCTCCCACAGAATCGGGGACTTTGCTTTATTTATTGCCTAGTACCAGCTCTGAGGGGTGCTGAAGTACTTGATGAATGAATGCCCTATGGGGGGTTGTCATTAGAACCATCTCAGACAGGGAAGGAGAGTCCCAAATTCATGTTCCCGTTTGAGTATTTTTTTTTTTTTAATATATAATACTCAATGCCTGAAGAACTTCCCTGCCTCTATCCCCTTACCCTCATGATGAAGCTGTCACCCTGCAGCCTGTGAGTAAAACTGGGGTCAAGAGTAGGAACCCTTACAGTGTAAAACCTCTTCAAAGTAATCTCCAGAGTATTAGAGATTAGCCTTTGGAAAAGGGATTTGCTGCTGGAATTTCAAAAACATTAGATCTGAGCCTGGCTTAATTACAAAGAAAAACACTCTCAGGAATCTTTAACCAGCTGAAAATATTCTTCAGCAGTTAGATCAAGTTATTATTCATGCTACTCAATGTGAACAAATATAACCAAAGTTTTCTGAGGCAGAGTCTTTAGTTAAACATGAGCTAAACTGCAAGGACAGAGCTTCAGTAACTCACCAAGACATCTGTTAGATAGTCCACACTGTAGTTTTCACCGTGCTTCCGCGCCTTCCCATTGATAGAGAGGGTGTAATTATAATATTTAGAATTCTTTTCCTATCAAAGAGAGGAAAGTGAGTTTTTTTTTTCTTTTTAATGAGGCCAGCATACAAAATGAAAGTTGGAAACCATACTGTACTCTGCTTAAACAGTGATAAGACATAAAAGATGACTGTTCAAGTCAATACTGAATTAGACTTCTTGACTACGGTTTTATTAACTACGAGCAGAGTTTCAATAACATGTTTAGTTAAAAACTCAGAAACAGATCTGGTACAACAGCAAAATATGTTGCTAAACCTTGTGGAATGCAAGAAAAATATCTCACAACAGAGTGCCTCACAAATCAACAGACTTTTAAGGAGATGAAGTGGCCAACCATAACAGCAAACCAGGTAATGTCAATATCAGAGCTACAGTAAAAAGTAAACAAGCATCTGTAGGGTTGTGTGTAATGGTCGCCGACTTCACTGTTCACTCACCAATGCGTACCAGTAACTCCAGCCCAGAGGAACGTGTCCAAGTCCACCTGCATCTGGGGCTCCATACTGGAAAGCAAGACAAGCAATGCATTAGAAGTTCAGGGGATGTGACCAGACCAGAAAGAAACACGAAACTGTCAGAATCTTTATACATCAGTGCCTGAAACATGGTAAGTGCTTAATTTTCACAAGTACAAAAATCAATTGAAAAGCGAAGAACACTACAGACCTAGGAATTTCTGAAGCATAAGCTGGCAAACTATGGCTGGTGGGCCAAATCCAGCCTGCCAACTGCTTAGCTGGCAAGCTAAGAATTTTCTTCCAAACATTAAAAAATATAAACACTAAAAAAAAAAAACAAAAAACCCCAAAACCACCAAACAAAATCAAATATACTTGAATTTAAAAAAAATCAAAAGAGGATTATTTCTTTGACAGTTTGCCTGAAATTTAAACTTCAGTGATGGTGAAGCCTTACTGAAACACAGCACACTCACTGGCCTCTGCAGGTCTGTGGCTGCTTTCCCGTGACAATGACACAACTGAATAGTCACGACAGACATACGGGCTGCAAAAGCCTGAAATATTTACTCTTGGTCCTTTACAGGAAAAGGCAATAGAGCTAAAGCCATAGGGCTCATCTGTTGAGCTACTGATTACATAGACTGGTCTAGCCAGCCTTGTGGCTAACTGCCCAAATCAGGCTAGAAGCTCTCAGTCTATCACTTCAGCTCTCCTGCTGATGAAGTCCATTTTTGCTATTTTATGTTTATTTTTTGACCATGCCACATGGCATGTGGGATCTTAGTTCCTCGACCAGGGACTGAACCCGCACCCCCTGAATTGGAAGCTTGGAGTCTTAACCACTGGACCACCAGGGAATTCCCTGAGGACTACATCTGGACTCAATTTATCTGATGAGATGAATTAAGTGAAGAGACCACAGAGTCATCCCATTTTATCTTGATAAGGCTTAACACTGCCCATTTAATGCAGTACCTCTAAGAACTAATTCTTTGTAGTTTGAAGAATTTCTAATTTTGTGTATGTTAGAAGATATTCAATATGAAAAGTACTGTATGTTCTCTTTATGACCTGTAGCCATAATCCATCACACTTATTACTCACGACTCTTCAAACTGAGTCATTTTTCATCAAACCCACAAAGCTGAAAATTCCCCCAATTATTACAGGGAGGGAGAGAATTAAGAAAATTCAGATCAGATATTAAGATCTCTAGCAACCATGGAAAAGTACATAAGAAAACAAACATGTTCTCTTTGTCCTGAATCCCACTTTTACTTTAAGAGATAATCCCAAACACTCTCAAACACATTATTTTCATTAAGCCTGAACTCTGACTAAATGCTAAGGCCAGTGAGGTGGACGCAAGGCCCTGAAGCCTGGCCTGGGCAGGTCACAATGAGGCCTCCTTCATCCCGGGCCTTCAAGGCCAGCACGCTAACCACTCAGGCACATAATTCAATGGCCTGAATGTCTCAGGTGTGGGTGCTCTTCCTTCATCACTGATCTCCACACAACCTGTTTCCAGTTTCCAAAAAATGGGTTAAGTTGTTGTTATTCAGGAAAGAAGCTCAAAGGAAAAAATTCTTCACTCTGCTCCTGATAAAGGAGAAATGGAAACAAAGATACCATGACGGCCATGTGACAAGCAGAATTCTTGAGGGAAAAAAGGGAAGATGTCTCAGGCCACTGTGGTCTGAAGACAACTTTAAAATAAATGCTCCAGAGACTGTCTGAAGAAAGAATAACCACCATGTCCAAATCCTGTAAATTACGTTCATGTAAATAAGTTCCTGTTTAACAGGTAGATTAAGAGAAAAGCCAGATACCCAAAAACCCTTTAACATGACTTGAATGGATACTAATTAAAAAACAATTAACATGAATTATATAAATTCATATTTCAGGAGCTGTTATTAACAAAACAAAAGGGAATAATTAGACCATTCAACATACCTCATTTAAGTATTTCCCTGCAAAAAAGGTCTGATAACCACACATGGATCTGAGAATTGCTGGGAAAGTATTCGGCTCTTGGATCTTCTGCCAAGACTTGCTGCTGCAGTTCCCCTCCAGAGTGTTGTTAACCACGTGATGATTGTGTGGGTACTTCCCTGTCAGGATGCTGGCTCGGCTCGGGCAGCAGAGAGCACTTGGCACATACTACAAAGGGAAGAGAAGCAAGAGAGACAGTTACACAAGACAGATTTCTCATCATTTCTAATCAGAAGAAAGAAAGCTGCTCAGTTCCCCTAACTTCAAATCTCTAATTTCCCGTGGAATAGGGATTTTCTTTATAGATAACACACTTCAGAGCTGCTGTAAGTTCTCTCGTGGAGACAGGAAACAGAACAACCAAGAGAACACACTTCTTTTTCCGCTAGTTTCTTTTTACAGGATAACCTGAAGTTGTTCTAATCTCATCAGCCAAAGAAATGTTACATGCAAGGAACACAGCATGCTGGGAGCGAGGTCCCGAGCAAACATGAAGAATACTCCTCAAATCTAGAGCAGCTGAGAAGTAGGGAGTCATTTTCAGGCTGAGCTGGAGTTTTCGCTTACCTGCATCACTTTATACACTGGACATAGATTTTTTTTTCCTACTCTAATTATGTATCCATTAGCTCCTATCATCAACAGAATTACCCTATTTGACCTAGTAATATTTGTCTAGGTCCTAACACTCATTACCTATCCACTTTAGAGAAGGGTAATAGCTTATACTCACACCAGCAGGGCAGGAATGCTCATTTTGCTCATTTGAGCACACCCTTGCCAGAATTACGTATTATCCCTTTGAAACAATTCACATTTCTTTGGCCTTTTAAATTGGAACTGGCGTTCTTAAATACTGGTGAGGATGAACACTCTCCACATGCATACTGATCAACCGTGTTCATGGGAATGGTCTGTTCACGCACTTTGCACCTTTCCCCTCCTGTTACCTAAGTTTTCTAAGACTTCCCTGCTGGCTCAGACAGTCGAGTGTCTGTCTGCCTGCAGTGCGGGAGACCCGGGTTCAATCCCTGGGTCGGGAAGATCTCCTGGAGAAGGAAATGGCAACCCACTCCAGTATTCTTGCCTGGAAAATCTCATGGATGAAAGAGCCTGGTAGGCTACAATCCATGGGGTCGCAGAGAGTCGGACACGACTGAGCGACTTCACTCACTCACTACATAAGCTTTAAGGAAGGATTCAATCATACTACAAATACTTCCTAGTTTTTACTTTTGCTTTTTAATTTGGCTGGATGTTTGACTTTTGTAATTTTCACACTGGCAACTCTTTTAATTCTTCTCCTTTTTTATTTCCTGACCTATTTTTTGGCCAATGCTATGCTGTTCACTGGATCTTCACTTTACATTTCAGGGCCTGGTAGAGATATCTCTTTAAAAATTTTACCTTGATTATTCTAACCTACTTATTATTCCAGATAACTTCGGAATCACTAAATTCAGCCTAAAAAGAATCCCACTGGGATTCTGACTAGAATAAGCATTTTATAATGTGTCTCTCCAGAGAAAATGATGTGTGTAACTATGCATGAAGTACTTTATCACTCACCAAATATTCTAACTGAATTTATAGGTCTTAAAACCATTATTGGACACCACTAGCTATTCCTAGAGCCTATATTTTCCTGCCTTTATATCAGTGGGATCACTTCTCCCCCCACCTCATGTTTCTCTAACTAGTTACATGGAAGAAAGTTATTTACAGCTTTTCATTTCTAATTTACTAAATTCTATTAATTTAAAAGCTTTCCAACAACTCTCTTATGATTTCTAAGTAGAAACTTCAGACAAGTGGAAATAACAATTTTGGTCTTCACAAGACTTATGCCAATGACTAGACAGTTCAGTAGATGATTAAGTGAGAGATACTGGGCCCTTGCTGTCTTCCCTAAGAACAGTACCCTGAGACTTTAATCTTAACTATAAGTTGTGCTATTTGTTTGAAATAGTCTTCATAGTGCATTCTTCTAATGGTTTAACAAGTTACAAGAAAAGGGGTGCCAACACTTCAGAGGACTTTTTTTTTTTGGATGGGGACCATTTTTAAAGGTCTTTCTTGAATTTGTAAAACACTGCTTCTATGTTTTTGTTTTTTGGCTGCAAGCATGTGGGATCCTAGCTCCCCGACCAGGAATCAAACTCTCACCACCCCCCAACGTTGGAAGGCAAAGTCCCAACCACTGGACCACCAGGGAAGTCCCTCAGAGGACTTTTAAATATCTATTGAGACAACCATCTAATTTTCCTTCTTTTAACCACTGTTGGTGGACGATATAATAACCACCATTACGTAGTGAGTGGTACTTACTACAAGTCAGGCATTGATATAAGTGCTTGCTTTACCTGTAACAATCCATTTAACCTCTGAGATAGGCTTTAGTATTCCTATTTACAAATGGGGAAACCAAAGGCAAAAAAGCTTAATAACTTGCTCAAGGAAGCACAGCTAGAAAAGAGACAGCGAGAACATTCAAAACACGGTGGTCTGGTTCCAGAGTCTGTGCTCTTTACCACAACACTGCTGCTCTTCAAAGGATTTCCTGACACGAAGCTATGCTGCCACTGACTTGGTTATGAGCATGGTTCCTGAATTTGATTTGTCAGTATTTTGTTTTGGATCTTTGCATTTATGTTTATATACAAACATATACACATGTATTAATATACATGTATATGTATGCACACACATATGCATAGTTGTTAGGTTTGTTCTGTTTTCTTGGTATTATCTTTGCTAGGTTTGACTATGAGGGTTAATTGGGCTTTGTAAAGTAGTCTGCAAGCTTTTACCATGGAACACTTTACAGAGTACAAATGATACCCAATTCTTACAATCTGTTTTCAAACTTCCAATCATGAAGGTTTAAATAAACTTCTCTAGTTCTAAGGTGCAGATCAGAATGGCTTACAAGATACCTGCCATTAATTTTCAATAGTTAAGTAGTAATATTTCAATTAAAAGAACTTACATCACATTAAATAGAATCTTTCTTCAGATCAGGCATTTAACTAGAAGAAAAACCATAAAAAATACAGTAGACTACTCAAAAGAGTATTTCTTCTTAGAATATAAACACAAGAGTTTAACAAAATTAAATCAGCTTCAAAACTTACAGCACTAGAGAAAGTCATTCCCATTTCTCCAATGAGAGCCTTGGTTTTCTTCAGTGGTGTCTGTAAAATAAATAAATATCTGTCAAACAATTTCTTCCAATAAACTAAAACACACAGGACAAAATTTGTGTTTTTTGATTCCTCTCAACCTTTTATTCCTAAATGATCAGCTCGATCTGACACTAAGAAATAGCTGAGAGTCCCGTGTGATTCAGGAGATGAACCCAAGTTTGGTTCCAGTCAGTTATGTCCTGTGCAAAAGTTCAGGTAGTTAGAATGCTTGCAGGAAGGGAAAGTTCACAGCTGAAGGCATTATTCTAGCAATGCTGATTTCAATGTAATGAGACCTTGATGCCCTTCTCTCATTTGTCACCGTCCCCCTTACAAAAAGACAGGGTGTATCTACCTCCATTAATTCATCTTTAGAAGCGGAATGTGGAAAACGATATGAAAGGAGCCTTTCACCCCTTAAAACAGAAATAAACCAATACAGGTTCTAAAAGTCAGACAAGGCCCCCAAACTCACTCAAATATCAGTCACTTGGTATACAGCCCAGACGCACAATTCCTGACTATAAGCTCATGGCCCTCTGCGCTAGACAACTACCACCTCAGGTAAAACTTGAGCCAAAGGGCAAACAGATCTACAGAGAACCTCATCAAGCAAAAGACTAGTCAGAAATTGCTTTGTTTACATCCTTGCTTTTTATCTTTTGCTCAAAATTTAAGATCCTGACAAGTACAGAACAATAACTAGTTTCAAATCCTACGGTGAGGACAGAAAGCATGATGTTGGTCATTTAGATAGAAATAATAGTAATAAACACTAATAATCTTTATTCAGATTCCAGACAGCAAGAAAGGCCAATCTGAAGAAGCTCATTTTAGCTGTATTATATGAGTTGGTTCATGATGATTCTGAAGTGCCTTTGAAAGCTGAGACCATACTGAACACAGTTTTAAGTGTATTTTGTTGTGTAAAAATTCCTTACAGACTAATAACCCAAAATCACAACTATATTAATAAGAGGGTCATTCTCACTGTATAAAAGTTACCACCACTGTTTTATATAGATGTTAGAAAACCAGCAACCCACTCCAGTGTTCTCGCCTGGAGAATCCCATGGACAGAGGAGCCTGGCAGGCTACAGTCCCCGGGGTTGCAAAGAGTCGGACACAACTGAGCGACTTCACTTCACTTCACTAGAAAACCTAAAGAATCCATTAGCTTGAGAATTCTCACTTATTCAAGAACTCTGAAAAAGCATTTGACAAAACTCAACATCCATTTATGACAAAAATTCTCAAAGTAGATAGACAAGGAATGTGCCTCAACATAATAAAGGTCATATATAACAAGTTCATAGATAACATCCTACTCAGCAGTCTTCTTCTAGGATCAGGAATAAGACAAGGATACCCACTCTCGCCAATTTTATTCAACACAGTTTCAGAAGTCCTAACCGCTGCAATCAGAGAAGAAAAAGAAAAGAAATCCAAATCAAAGGAAGGAGTCAAACTGTCACTGTCTGAAGACGACATGATACTACGCATAGAAAATCCAAAGACATCACCAAAAAACTACCAGAGCTCAATGAATCTGGTAAAGTTGCAGGACACATTAATATGCAGTTAATAAAGTTAATATGGTGTTGCATTTCTCTACACTAACAATGAATTATCAAAAAGAAATTAAGGAAATGATCTCATTTATAGTCACATCAAAAAGAATAAAATACCTAGCAATAAACTTACCTAGGGAAGTCAAAGACCTGTACTCACAAAATTGTAAGAGAGTGATAAAAGAAACTGAAGAACACACAAACAGATGGAAAGATACACCTGACTGATGGATCAGAAAAATTAATATTGTTAAAATGATCAAACTACCGAAGGCAATCTACAGATTCAATACAATTTCTATCAAAATACCAATGCCATTTTTCACAGTGCTAGAACAAACCATTTTTCAATTTGTATGGAAACACAGAAAACCCTGTATAGCCAAAATGACCTGAGTAAAGAGCATGGAGCTGGAGGCCTCACGCTCTTTTGCTTCAGACTATACTACAAAGTCAGAGTAATCAAAATGATATGGTCCTGGCACAAAAACAGACATGTAGATCAATAGAACAGAATAGAGAGAAATAAACCCACTCACTTGTGATCTATTAGCATATGACAAAGGAAGCAAGAATATACAACGGAGAAAAGACAGTCTCCTCAGTAAGTGGTGCTGCCAAAACAGGACGGCTTCATGTAAGAGAATGAAATTAGAACATTTTCTCCCACCATATGCAAAAATAAACTCAAAATGGACTAAAGACCTAGATCTAAGACTGGAAACCATAAAAATCATTAAGAAAAAAAAAATAAATAAAAATCATTAAGGAAAAGAGAGGCAAAATGCTCTCTGACATACATAGTAGTAATATATTTTTGGATCTGCCTCCTAAGGCAAGAAACAAAATAAAAAACACATAGGACCTAACGAAATTTAAAAGCCTATGCCCAACAAACTATTGACCGAAGAGCAATAAAAACCTACTAAATGGAAGAAAATAGGTGCAAATGATATGACTGACAAGAGATTAACATTAAATATATAAACAGCTCATATAACTCAGTATTAAAAAACAAACAAACCCTGATTAAGAAACAAAAGACCAGGGCGTCTCTGGTGGCTCAGTGGTAAAGAATCCACTTGCCAATGCAGGAGACAAAGGTTTGATCCCTGATCCAGAGATCCCACATGCCCCAGAGCAACTAAGCCCGGGACCCACAACTACTGAGCCCATGGGCTGCAACTGCAGAAGCCTGTGTGCCCTAAAGACCACACTCCACAACAAGAGACGCCCACACACTGCAGCTAGAGAGCAGTCCCTGCAAGCCACAACTATAGAAAAGTCCATGCAGCAATGAAGACCCAGCACAGTAAAAAAAAATTAATAAACTTATTTTAAAAAAAGAAACAGATGACTGAAACAGACATTTCTCCAAAGTCATACAGATGGCCAGATACATGAAAAAAGATGCTCAACACCATTAACCAGACAAAAGCAAATCAAAACCACAATGAGATACTACCTAACACCTGTCAGAATAGCCATTATTAAAAAAAGACCACAAATAACAAATGCTAACAAGGATGTGGAGAAAAGGGATCCCTTGTACATTGTTGGTGGAAATATAAATTGGCACAGTCGCTGTGGAAACAGTATGGAGGTTCCCCAAAAAACTAAAAATAGAACTACCATATGATCCAGCAATTCTACTCCTGGTTATATACCTGCAGAAAACAAAAACATTAATTTGAAAAGATACAGGCACCCCAATGTTCATAGCAGCATTATTTACAATAGCCAAGACATGGAAGCAACCTAAGTCTCCATCAGCAGATGGATGGATAAAGAAGATGTGGTATATATCTACAATGGGATATTACTTAGCCATAAAAAAGACTAGTATTTTGCCATCTCTAACAACCTGGAGGGTATTATGGTTAGTGAAATAAATCAGACAAACACTCTATGTTATCACTTATATGCAGAAGCTAAAAAATAAAACAAACGAATGAATATAACAAAAAAAGAAAGGGATTAACAGATACAGAGAACAAACTAGCGGTTTACCAGTAGGGAGGTGGAGGTGGGAGGCCCAGGACAGGAGTAAAGGATTAAGAGGTCCAAACAACTGTGAATAAAATGTATCAGATAAGGTACACAGAAGCACTGCGGGGCACACAGAAGACCGCCGATAAGGGGTAACGATAAACTGGGTGTCATCTACAAAAACCTTGAATCACTATGTTGCACACCTGAAACATACTGTAAACCAACATACCTGAATACAAAAAAAACCCACTATAGTAGTCAGAACGGAAATGGTATAAAAACAGAGACACAGATTAAGAGAACAGAACAGAGATTCTAGGAATAAATCCACACACTTAGGGTCAATTCATTGATGACAAAGGAGCCAAGAATATACAATGGAAAAGGAATATACAATAAATATTGCTGGGAAAGCTGGACAGCCCCATGAAAATTAATAAAGCCAGAACACTCCCTCACACCATACACAAAAACAAACCCAAAATAGCTTAAAGACTTAAATATGACACCATAAAATTCCTAGGAGGAGGAGGCAAAACACTCTGACATAAACTGCAGCAAAATTATCTTATATCAATCTCTCAAGACAAAAGAAATAGAAGCAAAAATAAACAAATGGGACCTAGTCAAACTTACAAGCTTTTGCACACAAAGGAAATCACAAACAAAAAGACAACCTATGGACTGAGAGAAAACAGCTGCAAAGAATGGGACCCACAAGGGGTTGATTTCCAAAATATACAAATAGATCAGTATCAAAAAACAAAAACCCAATCAGAAAGTCTTCTTTTGAAGAGTTAGGTCTTTTGAAAGTTAGGTCTTCTGCCCTAACAAGATACTTCTCCAAAGACGACATACAGATGCCCAACAGGCACAGGAAAAAAATGCTCAATATTGTTTAATTATTAGAGAAATGTAAATCAAAACTACAATGAGGTTTGTAGGCCTCACACCTGTCGGAATGGCCATCATCAAGAAGTCTACAAATAATGCTAGAGAAGGTGAGGAGAAGAGAGAATTTTCCAACAATGCTGGTATGAATGTAAATTGGTGCAGCCACTATGGAGAACAGTATGATGGTTCCTTAAAAAACTAAAAGTATAATTACAATATGATCCAGCAGTCTCACTCCTCAGCATGTATCTGGAAAAGACAGTCTAAAATTTGCAAAGATACACACACCCCAATGTTCACAGCAGCACTATTTACAACATCCAAGATGTGGAAGCAACCTAGATGTCCATCAAGAGATGAAATAAGATGGGGGGGGGGTGTGTGTGTGTACACACACACATATACACACAGTGGACTATTACTCTGTAATAAAAAGGATGAAATTCTGAAAATTTGCCATTTGCAGCAACATGGATGGACCTATAGATGATCATAGTAAGTAAGGACACAGAAAGACATATTATATGATACACTTGTATGTGGAATCTAAAA